CCCACTCTTTCCCCTTTGCCCCCTCCCCTGAGCCCCTGACTCTTTCTGCAGCCTTTTTACTCTTACTTCTTGGCTCCTTCTTACTGCTGTCTTTCAATTTCAGCCACTCTCTTGTTCTTATGGTAGGTAGGAGGTAAGACCTGATACCCAGCCTTCACAGATAATAGCTAAAAACCTCGGAGGTCCCAAGTGAAAGTTGCGCACGTTAAAGATCCCTTGGTGATCCTAAAATCGATAAAAGTGTAGGCTTCGGCCGCCACCCAGGCAAAATTCAAATTTCCTAAAAACCTGAAAGTGTTTAATGTGTCCCACGCGCTACTATGACTATGACCTTACGCAGTTGCGAGCGCCGTAAAACACTTACCAAAACAAAAACAAAGTAGTATTTCAATATTCAACCCAAGGGGGACTCTTTTTATTGAGTGTTTTGGTGATTTTAAGAAACATGAAAAACAAATAGATAAAGTGTTGATTTGTGATGGAAAAGGAAAAGTCAAAAGTTAATTTTATACTTAATTTTATACTTCAATTTATATGAACTGAATATAATGCATTTGAAATTTAACTCCCCGGACATAATGCTTTTCGTGAAAATAGTTTCGCCACCTTATTCACACATGGAAGGACTGGAAAACACATTTGCATTGCTTTAGCAAAGTTCTGAAAGTTCTGTTACTGGCAATAGCATTCCAGCAGGTAAAAGCCATAATTTTTGTGTGCTAAAAAGTCCCGGGAAATTACGACAGCGGACACGTTTGTCGTGAGAAAGTTATTTTGAGGTCTACCTACCATAAGACGCACCGATTTTCCGGAGCACAGAGCAGATTTACACTTACGTTAATTTGTGTTGGACTGGAAGTTCCTACATGTATCTGCATCACCCTTGGGAGTGATGCCTTCCCGTGGAGATGACTTCAACTTGTTCCACAAGACGTAGGCTACATAGTTCTTTGTCGTGAACAATTCATCACAAAAAGTTATTATTATCAATTTTATATCGGGAAGTTATATCCGGCCTATATTGCTTGACATACGTGCTTTACTCATGATTTAGTTAGATTTTATGACTGTTTGAAGACAAAATAAATAGCTATGCACTTCTTCATTTTAAGGGACTACTGGCCTAATGCCTTTGAATTGGGCGGGATCATAATAGTTATTCTTGACATCATCTTTGCTTTGAATACTATATCCGTCTCTGTGCTTTTGTCATGAGTCTTCTCCAGTGTTTTTGTTTGTTGCGTTATGTACCGTTCATAGTACATGTATAGTCGAGAGGGATGTCTTGTAATGTTGCAGAAAGACCCAGATATAAAGAAACGGTACCTTTCTTTTCTGTTTGTTTTTAAAATCCAGGCGTTAGATATCTAGACAGAGAAATAGTCATTCAGAGTGATTTTGATGTGAACTATTGTAAACCTATATCAACATGAATAAGAATTGTGGTTTAGTAAGGTTTTATGGCGCTCGTAACTGCATTAGGTCATATTAATTATTATTAGCGCCAAGGGGTGGATTTCAACAGAGAAGTCCAAACGGGGAATAGGGGGAATCAGGCTTATTCTGCTCACATCTCTAGCCTCAACAGCACAAATTCTGCTTCGACTATCAAAGCACCCCGGAAAAAGCAGTTCACAGGAGAGTGACCTATATAAATAGAAGTAGAGGAAAATGACGATAGTAAGGACGAGGTGGAAAAAAGCAGCAGTTCCCCCTATGTTGTTCCGGCACGGTATGAGCATGACATTGGTAAATCAGCCCATTTACAATTCTACTGTGTTCAAACATGTTAATACCCCC